TTTATCTCCTGGTTCTCGCGATTCGATTTCTGCAATCGCTTCTTGAATCGGGTCCATATTGGTTGAGTTTTGACGCGTTGAAGTTTTGTTGTTGTGGTGGTGGGGGTGCTCAACTGGCGATGGTGCTCATCTGGTGCACGGGCACTGTAGCTTCTTCATCATCATCTCCACCACTACTTACATACTGTACCCAATTCCCTAGCTCACTAACAGCAAACAAGGTTACGTACCTAGTTCTTACGCATTCATTCACCAGACCACAAACAATCAGCATGTCACATGTCACATGCAGTGCAGCAAGCCCCAAAGCCGCGGTTCCCCCCCCTCTCTCTCTCTTTTCTCCTCAATTGTCCCCAGCCTTCTTCTTCTTCCTCCTCTTCTGAATGAGATAAGACGCGAGGCCCTGACTAAGAGCCCGTGTTTGATTTGATTTTGTGTATACGTCATGACTTTGTGCATTGATCCCGTTTTGCAGCAAGACATGTGACTAGCCATCATTGCTGTATTACCCGAGAAAGCGCGGCCTCGCCCGTTCCTGCGTGTGTGTGTGTGTGTGTGTGTGTGTGCGTGTTGGGGCGCCAACTTTGCGGCGCCAACTTTGGATCCGTCTCTCCTCCTCCTCTCTCTCTCTCTCTCTTTCGCAACTTTTGCTTTTTTTTCTTCGTCTCGTTCCGTCTCTTTTTTCTTGGGCACAAACGTCCCCTTCCCCGCTTGCTGTGCGCTGATAGTGAAAAAGGGCTGGAGTTTACATACGCTGTGAGGTACGAGAAAGAGAAGATAGGACTAGCAGAGGTTCATCGAAGGGGAATAATATACATTGTTGGAAGAAATCAAAGAGATGGGAGACTACAAGGGTGCGGCGGCGACGGGCCCGAGCGTCGTCATCGTGGGTGCGGGCGCGGGCGGCGTTGCGCTCGCAGCTCGTCTGGCGGCGGCGGGTTGCAAAGTGACGGTGGTGGAGAAGAATGGGTTTTCAGGTGGCCGATGCAGTTTGATTCATCGTCGAGGATACGTATGGCTCTCTCTCTCTCTCTCTCTCTTTCTATTTCCTCTATCACGTGAACATGAAAGAATCAGGAACCCCTCCTCCCACTCCCGCTGACGATAATAATGATAATGACGACGACATGCTAACCAAAACAGAGATTCGATCAAGGCCCCAGTCTCCTCCTGCTGCCGCGCTTTTTCCACGAGACATTCCACGACCTGGGCACGTCGCTCGAGGCCGAGGGCGTGCAGCTCGTCAAGTGCGAGCCCAACTACAAGGTGCATTTCCACGATGACACGACGTTTGAGCTCTCAACCGACATATCCGTCATGAAGGGCGAGATTGAGCGCTTCGAAGGCACCGCGGGCTTCGAGCGCTACCTGTCGTTTCTGCAGGAGAGCCATCGGCACTACGAGGTTTCCGTTATTTACGTGCTGCGCCGCAATTTCTACTCGCTGCGTAGCATGGCCCGTTTGGACTTTTTGCTGCATCTGTTTGAACTCCATCCTTTTGAGAGCATCTGGTACCGTGCGAGCAAGTACTTTTGGACGGAGCGCCTCCGCAGAGTGTTTACCTTTGCGAGCATGTACATGGGTATGAGTCCGTTTGATGCGCCCGGCACGTATAGTTTGCTGCAGTATACAGAGCTTGCAGAGGGGATTTGGTACCCGATTGGCGGGTTCCACAAGGTGAGTAATTTCCATGTTATATCGATATGTGCAAAACTGACTTGAGCAGGTCGTCGAGCGGCTCGTCAGTGTGGGCGAGCGCCTGGGCGTCAAGTACATGTTCGACAGTCCGATCCGGGAAATCTCATTATCAGAGGATGGAAAGCGCGCAACGGGCGTGGTCTTTGAAGACGCAGCCAAAGCCCCCCTGACAGCAGACATTGTCGTGTGCAACGCCGACCTCACCTACGCATACAACAACCTCCTGCCTGCATCCTCGTACTCGCGCTCTCTGCTCAAGCGCAAGGCCTCAAGCTCCAGCATCTCGTTTTACTGGGCGCTAGACCGCCAGTTCCCCGAACTCAGCGCCCACAACATCTTCCTCGCAGAGGACTACAAGGAAAGCTTCGACAGCATCTTCAAGCAGCACCTGATCCCCGACCAACCCAGCTTCTACGTCAACGTGCCCTCGCGCGTGGACCCCAGCGCCGCGCCCCCCGGCTGCGACTCCATCGTCATCCTGGTGCCCGTCGGCCATCTGCAGGATTCGACGACAAACGCACACAAAGGCTCCAAGCACACGCAGGGCCTCACACAAGACTGGGACGCCATGGTGGCCTCGGCCCGCGAAACCATGCTCAAAGTCATGCAAGCCCGGCTGAAAATCAATCTCGCACCCCACATCATCGACGAAGCCATCAACACGCCTCCAACGTGGAAATCAACCTTCAACCTCGACCGCGGCGCCATCCTCGGCCTCAGCCACTCCTTCTTCAACGTCCTGAGTTTCCGCCCAAAGACCAAACACGCGTCCATCAACGCCCTGTACTTTGTCGGCGCAAGCACCCATCCCGGAACCGGCATCCCAATTGTCCTTGCTGGCGCCAAAATCGTCGCAGAGCAGATTCTGCGTGCGTGTGCACTGCAGCACCGTGTCCCCTGGAAACCCGCGCCCGATACCCCCAGGGTAGCGTCGAGTAGCCCGTTGGATCGCACGCAAAACGGCCCGTATCTGAGCTGGCTTGTGTGGATTCTACTTAGTGTCGCCATGGCGGTTGTGCTGGGCGCGGGTATGGGCGCGTGGAGGTATACAGAGGGTGCTGGGTTTGCGGGGGATTGGTAGGGGTGATGCGGATGATTATGCGGGCTGTATGTATGTAGGTATGTATGTATGTATGTATGTATGTATGTAATGTGTTGTTGTAGCCGAGACATGATTTCTGGCTTCAGAACATGACTAAGTAGAGATGAATAGTTATTTTTTTTCTTTTTCTTTTTGCTCTTTGCTCTTTGGTCTTTTGATGATTTCAGAGCTTTGGTGCTGTGCAACTACGGAGGTTAATTCACTTAACGTGTTTCACCAGTAAGCGGGCCACCCCAGTATGTGGGCCACTTCCCTATGATATCCCACCTTTGCAACAACAACGCGTAATGTCTTAACAACGCAACGCGTTAAAAACTTATACTAAAGCAGATCTATTTCTTACTATTACTAATCTTAATTCTAAACAAATTTAGAGTAAACAATGCGCTGCTGCCGCCTATAGCGTCCTATAAACAATAATCTAGCGTCGACAAGCTAGATAGCGCCCTTAAAGCGATTAGGAGCCACTAGCAAGGCGCCTAACAAAACTAGAAGAGGAGGCTATTACTATGCGTGTAACAGTCAAGGCTAAGCGAGGACTACCCTATAGGAAAGACTGTAAGAGGCTACGCCTAAAAGTGTTTGATCGAGTATATCTATACGACTACCTGGACTTCAAGAAGCTTGAAGTCTTGTTACTGCCTTTTTGGCTATGGATGGCGTAAGTAGTCGTACGCTCGGCCCGTTGGGCCCGCCCATTACACTTTATCTCTTCGCAGAGATCTTAGAAATCCACTAAGTAGTAGCTCTTATTGTAAAGGGCTACGCCAGAGAGGTATGACCTACAGGTCACATGGTAGTGAATCACATGACTTTAGTCACGTGACTAAATAACGTGGTTAGTTACGTACGAACAAGCTTAAGTAAGGAGGAAGACTAAAGGTCTGAGCGTTCGTACGAATAACAACTATAAAAGGAGGGCCCTCTAGATAGTTCTTTTCTGTATCTTTCTTCTTCTGTACAATAGGTGAATGCATACTCGTTAGTTAGGCCTCTTTCGCCCATAACACTTATAGCTATTAATAATAAGCAGCCTATGCGTCCCTATAGGCTGCGCATGGGAATTAAAGTAATAAAGCTAGTTAAGCGCTAGATTGTTGTTTGTCTAGCTAGTAGGACTAACTTAGATCACCTAGTTGCGTAGTAGATCCTCTATAAACTAGGTAGAGATTAGAACCTTGCTAGCAAAGATAAGAAACGCTAGGATACGCGTGCCTATTGCGCTAACGCCTTATATTAGCGTAACCTACTCACAATTACCTAGCTAGATCTTCTTTATTCTCCCTAGTTTGTATAAGCCTATAATAACTAACTATAATAAAATCTTACCTTTGCCTTTATATTCTAAACTAGCTTAAACTAGCCCTTAATAAGCGCTAGGTCTTTGTAGAGAGCTCACTGGTAATTGTATAGATGGCTCTAGCGCGTACGCAGCTTAGGATTGCGCTAGACAAACCTATTAACCTAGTTCTTGCCCACCTCCTTCCCGCCACGCTCTTAGAGCAGTCTATTAGCTATATCTCGCACGTCGTCTTTGTAATGGGCGGGCCCAACGGGCCGAGCGTACGACTACTTACGCCATCCATAGCCAAAAAGGCAGTAACAAGACTTCAAGCTTCTTGAAGTCCAGGTAGTCGTATAGATATACTCGATCACACACACTTTAGGCGTAGCCTCTTACATAAAGATAATCCTCCTCTATATGCCTCCCCACTTGTCGCACCTCTTACAGCCTTTTGATATAGGCTGCTTCTCGCCGTTAAAGCGCGCGTATAGTAATGCTATCTTAGTCTTAGCACGCAATCGCATCTACTATATTAGCAAAAAAACCTTCCTACTAGCGTTTAAAAAGGCCTATTATAAGGCTATTACACTAGAAAATATCTATAGAGGGTTCTAAGGTGCTAGACTTTTACTACACAATTATAACGTTGTTTTATTATAGCTTAACGTTATGCTGCATACGCTAACTCTACTAGCGCAAGAGACTACTGCTTAGGAGCTAAAAACGCCGCGCAACGCGCGCGAAATAGAGGCGCAGGCTACGCTTATTTAAAACTGTATATAAATCTAGTAAGGGTCTCCTATAAGTTCTCTTAAAGAGTAGATATAGTAGTTAAGTAGAGAGCTTGGTATTATTATTATTATTATTCTAGTTTAACGTCCTTTTTCAGCCCAAAGGGCTATATAAGACGTGTAGGGTTTTTAGGCCTACAAGTATCTAAGTAGGTTGTTTCTAGCTACAATATTTAGGAGGGGTTTTAACTAGATGAAGGTGAGGCTCGTAGCCTATTGGTTGGTAGGTAGGGGGTAGGATAGGGTGGGGGAGGTGTATGGCTACCTGTTACAGGTATTACTCCTCGTTTTCTGTGTTTCCCTTGTACCAGGCTTGTGTTCCAGCCTTTGTTTCTTAAATAAAGGTAATAGTTGCTTCTATACCCTCTTTTGTTTAAAGGAGGATAGGTAGTGATAGATCGCCTTCGCAGGCTTCTCTTAGTCCTTTCTGTAAGAGGCTACGCCTAAAGTGTGTGTGTGATCGAGTATATCTATACGACTACCTAGACTTCAAGAAGCTTGAAGTCTTGTTACTGCCTTTTTGGCAATGGATGGCGTAAGTAGTCGTACGCTCGGCCCGTTGGGCCCGCCCATTACACTTTCCTTTCCTCTCTATATAGATTACATCTAAATAGAATATAAGGTAGGTCTTGTATAGATCTATAGTTGCAGGGGCAACTATTAGAATCCACTTTCCCTCTCTTATATAGGTAGTCCCTTAGGTAACAGTGCTCTAGTTTAAGTTAGTAGAAAGCGCTAGAAATCTCTCTTCTAGTATTGCTAGGAATAGCGATTTGCTTTCTTATCTTCCACTTGTATTTTGCTGCGTACGTTTGTGGATTCTTGCTAGTGGCTTTTTTCCTATACTGTTCAAGTTAGCTTAGCCATTCTCTCTCTCCTAGCTGCTTAATTCGCGAGCTAGTAACTAGCTAGGCTAGTTTTGCTAGTA